GCGCTCTGACTGACGCTCTGACCCCTGGTTAACGAGGTGACAGCTGTCAACTGAGATCCTTGTACATGCTGGCCTTCACTTGAGCAGCACTTACCTCCAGCTATAGAGGCCTGCATCCCAGCAGACGCTGTGCGCTGTGCGCTCTGCTCCCTGGCTGAAGGGCCTGACAGGCCTAGAACAGAGACAAGTCACTGTTTTGCGGGACAGAAACTATGTGACAGAACACATTTAAAAATTAAAGCAAAGGAAAGAAGATGTGTCCAGCACAACCCAGGCGGAAGGAGCACATACACTTCCCAGGAGGCAGGTAAATAAACTCGGAAAAGGAGGCAGAAAGGTTCTTAAAGGTAAATACAATCAATTTAATTTACTATCTCTCTGGGGGTTTGTTTGCAATCTCTCCCTGCGCAATAGGCCATCTTCCTAAATTATGCATTACCATGCTGTTATGGAAGAAGAACAACATAATTAAGATGAGGAGAGTGCCACAAATCTTCCAGGGTGCTATTATTAGAGGAATTTTAAAAGCGGACAATAAATCTTTCTTTAAATTACTAGCTCTTTTTTTTTTTGCTGGAATGTAAGATGAGCTTGGAACATCTTCTAGACAATGTAGAGAAGCAATGAAAAAGGCCGGTGGAATGGTAGGATGTGTAGTTAAAGGAGCGGAACTTAAATCCAAAAACATTACATTAAAAATTGTACTGGTTGTGCTTCGTTTGAAAAGCTGTGGACAGGTTCGGTCACTCTGGTACAAACGAGATCCTTCCTTTCCCAATTAACCAGCTGAGGATTTTTAGTCAGCAGCTAGCAATCAAATAGTCAAGATGAGCTGACTGGCCTCTCACCCACATTCCTTCTACACCCGTTCGAATGGAAATGGGGATGAGTGCTCTGAAAAAATGCATCTCTGGACCCCTGTCCTCTAATCCTTTTTCTAGTGACTAGCGCCTCCGATTTTGTGACCTTTGGATGTATGCTTCAGTCACTGTCAGCAGGAGAACACTTATTTGTCCGTAAACGTCGAAACAAAGAATGGACGCTTACGCAACTGTTCAGTCTTGTCCTCTGAGAAAAACAAAGATGCAAAATAGGAACAAATTCAACCCCCAAAGCTCAATTAATGAGGTACATTTAAGCAAATATATTTAAGCCAGTTAACGAAAGGTTACTAAAACAAATAGGAATTTATAGGATGGGATTTTATTTGATTTCATCAAGTGCAGTTTATGGATATGTTAGCATCATTATTACATATTACAATGGACCAGATGTAGCCATGTCCAGTTATTCCCTGAATGACTCAGTATTGCAGAATCATTATTCCTCAGTATCTTAAGAAATATAGGCAGGGGCCCTGAGAGCTAAGAGATGTAGTCTTTCTGACTGCCCGTGGGTAAGAACTGTCCCACGGATTTTTCTGACCTACTCAAGTAGTGTGACTCAGAACCCCAGGGCTTTGTGCCTTAAAGGGAATTCTACATTTTATATCTCTTGTTTCTCAAAGGAAAGCAATCCATCCTCACCTACTGTACATTCTCAGAAGATCAGTCTCTACACAGAAGCTAAGATGCTCCAGTGTGCAGAGCTCCAGACATGTTTTTCTCCAGTGATAGACCTTGTCTTGGCAGAACCTTGTACTCATGACAGCCATAAGTATTCAGGATTACGTGTGCTGACATGTATTATCCATTTTGTGTTTTCGACTCTTTACCCTTCTACAGCCATTCTTCTTAGATCTTGTAATTATTTCTTACTTACTATTTTATCATTGCTTTACACCTGTACTATGGCCAGAATTTGCAAGGTTTTTATATGCCAAACCCTGCTGTGGTGAACACACCTCCCCTCCTTCTCTCTTTGCTTTCTCTCGCAACAGGGGAATCCCAAGATTAAATGAGCTCTGTCTTTTCCACACTTGTGTCTTTCCTTGGGAGAAGGGAAATCTCAGAGGTTAAGTGATCCAAATGAGGGGTGAGGCAGCTCTGCAGTGTAGCTGTTAATCTGTGAAAGAAGCATCACTTCAAATCACTTAACTGACAATGAAGAGAAACACATTTCAAAGCAGTTTGCCAGAAGGACCCAGGGGAACCTAGATCTGTTGTGATCTGTCAGTTTAAAATAGGTTAAGCGCTTTCTTTGAAGATTTGCTTGCTTTCTACCTGGTAACCTAATGCTCTTTGGCCACACCTGTACAGCAGTATAACTGGAATGTCACCTTGATTGCAGGGAATGATTGACACTGTGTCTTTCATACAAAAGGACTGTTACAGGCACCTCCAAGCTGCTGACATTGTTTGATTTAGAAAAGGTCATTTTAAGTATAAGTGTCTGGTCTTACATTTTAAAACCACTATGGACACTAAATGGGTGACTACTTTTCTTTAGTAGATTCTTGAGAGACCATGGCAGAGAAACCATCGCAACAACGTCCTCTTCTGAGACCTGTGGGGTTCAGAAGGGTTCATGGCTTCAGCTCTATTTAGATGCCAGCATTACCACCCTAATGGCATCAAGCTCCGATCAAGAACACAGATAACCAGTGCTTGCCCAGAAGCCTGCTGCTTCTCAAGCTGGGATCAATGTAAAAAGATTGATCCCAGTTCTCATTAGTTCCTTTCCCACTAAAATGATTTTAAGAGTAAAGTCCTTGCACCTTGATTATGACATGATTGTGAGCTATAACTGATGTTGTTAAAATGACTCTTTGGATTCTACAACACGGATAGAAACAGCTGAGCCACACACACAGACTGAGCCACTGTGTGTGTCAAAAATGTAACAGGTTTTAAACATTACTGAAGATGGACCTCAACCCTCTCCCCCTTCCATTCCCATCATCATCGGTTCCAGAAATAATTTTTGCTCACACCTGATTTCACACAAACTCATGACATCAGATAGCGCAATGCTTCAACTCTGCACGGGGCACGAACCATCTTCACTGTTAATTATCACTGTTAATGACTAATTAAATAGAGCATTCATTTCCCTGGGCACTGAGGCTTCAAGGACTGTGCGTCGGCAGAGAAAGAGCTAATTATATTATAAAGAAAGTAGTTGTTTCTCTGCGGTGAGGAAATGGTCCTATTGTTCCCAATATTTAGTTTGTCACATTATAAGTCATCTTCTGC